AGATTTTAACCAAGACCCTCAACCCTACACCCTAAAGTCAAGTGCTCAACCCTAAAACCCTAGAGCACTAGTTCCCCAAACCCTAGAGGAACGTGCTCAGCCCTAACCCTAAACCCTAAACCCTAAACCCTAAACCCTAAACCCTAAACCCTAAACCCTAAACCCTAAACCCTAAACCCTAAACCCTAAACCCTAAACCCTAACCCTAAAGGACTGAAAACCCGAAGGGCTCAAACATCGAACCCTCGAAAGACACCTTGAACCTATAATGTAGGGGCCTTTATAATTAGACCAGGGTTCTTGGGGGTTTCCTTTAAAGGGTTCTATAAGGATTACTATGAAGGGTTTTATGGGGGTTTGCTATAGGAGCCTTCAGAATTAGAAGAGGGTTTAGGGCCTAGGGATTATCGTGGCCAACGTTTGAAAGGACCCCTAAGAAACCACAGATCAGATCACCGGTCCACTGGAGGCTTTTTTGGGGGGCCTGGGTTGATGTGTTTAGGTGCTAAAGGGTCGGGTTTAGGGTTTAGGGCGTCGGGTTCAGGGCTCGGGCAGTCGTGGTTGGAGGGTACTTGGAGGATCGGGACTCAGTAAGCAAGGTTAGAGGCACCTCAATTTTAGTTTCAAGTACTTATAACCATACTTGACAGATTTATAACCGTAGTTCCAAGGTAAGTCAGCTCTGACGAAGTAGAGTGACCCTTTATTTTGAGTTGAGGATTTCGTAGAGTTACAACTGCCTGACATTTAATTTAGGCCCCTATAGACATGTGTGGGCCTTAATAATTAGAATAAGGCATTGGCACCCCTTGTACTACTACTATAAAGTCATAAGGAATAACTATCTCGGCTTATATATATATATATATATTTATTTATTTATTTATTTATTTATTGGGGGCCTTAAGAATTAGAATAGGGTTTGGGGGTATATTATACTATAAGTATAGCAAGGAACCCCCAAACCCTATTCTATTTAGTAAGGCCTCTACATTTTTCCTACACCCCAAACTGTATTGCCCAAACCCAGGGTTCAGGTAAGCCCCTGAACCAACTCTTCAGATGCGGCGCTTTGTCAGCCTCGGGCGCCTCAAAAAAGCTCGCGATCTCTCGGCACCTCGGCATTTTGGAGTTTTCCTTGAGGATTTTTTTTGCCTTCTTTTAAGGGTTTAGAGGTTTTTGGGGTCCGGGGCTTCCTTCAAGCAGGGCTCACTTCTCTTGCCGTTCGGCTCGGTCTCCGGGTTTAGGGCTTTAGGGTTTAAGGTTTCGGTCTCCACGTTTAGGGCTTGAGGTTTAGGGCTTGGGTCTCCGGGTTTAGGGTTTTAGGGTAGGCCTCCCAAATGTAGAGCCCATTGCCACACCGCATACTTGTTTCGGCTCCCCGTCCCCAGTTTAAAAGCCGGCTCCCTGCCCGCATCGGACGAGAGAAGGCAGTTGCTAGAGAGAGGGGCGGGAGTTGGGTTTTTTCGGGAAGGCGAAGAAGCACACTAATGTAGGGGCCTATAAAATTAGAATAGGGTTTTGGGGTTACTATACCATAATTATAAGAATGAGCCCCCCAAATAACATAGGTAGTTATTAACTTACCAAGCTCACCGGAGCGGCGTGTCCCTTTGTAAACTGCGTTCCGAAGCTGCGTGCTCAGCTTGGACCCATGTCGCATGCCGTTTGGACCTAAATTGGTTTAGGGTCTAGGGTTTAGGGCTTCGGGCCTTAGAGTTTTGGGCTTTTAGCGGTTGTAAAGGCTAGGGACAAGAATTTTCAGATTCAGGCCTTTCAGGGATTAGGGCTTCAGTTTCTAGGGTTTCGGGAAACCGCAAAAGAATCAGAGGGTACAACAATGCCAGCGTAGACCCCAAATGGCAAAAGCAAACGCACAGTATACACCCTGAAGAGACCGCGACGACCTAAGCCCAAACCCCTAACCGCCTGAGCCCTTAACCTGAAACCCTAAAGACCGACCCACACCCTGCAACCCTTGCAAACCGAAGCCCCAAGAAGAAAGCCCGCTCCTAGGCCAGGGCGCTGCAAGAAAAGTGTGGCGACATATCGCTCCGCCTGAGAAACCTGCGCGGTTTTGTGGGCTTCTATAGGGTCTTGCATGCTTTTAGGGAGCTGCATTTTGGGTTCACGTATGGCTTCAAGATTTCGAATGTAACCACCCTTACTTAGGTATCAGTACCTAGATCAGAAGACCAGGAGCTATATCTCTGTATATGTATGGATGGATCGATGTATTAATGTGAGGCTGCATGCATGCATCTATACACGTATGTATGTATGTATGTATGTATGTCTGTCTGTCTGTCTGTCTGTCTGTCTGTCTGTCTGTCTGTCTGTCTGTCTGTCTGTCTGCATCTATACACGTATGTATGTATGTATGTATGCATGTACGTACGTAGGTATGTACGAAGGTATGTATGTATATGTTTATTCATGTGTAATTATGTGCGTGTTTATGTGCGTATATGTCTTTACATTAAACGTGTGCTTGCCTCACTATGACAACTTAAACCTTAAACCCATAATCCTGACCTGTTGAACCACCCATCAGGTCCGAACGACCCGGGTGACCTCGGCGATGTGTTCCACTTCGTCCATGGGTGCCCTCCTCACGAGCTGGAGAGCCAGCTCCACATTTGGGAGTTCGGGTCGAACTTGAATATTCGGTCTGGTCTGAATATTAATTAATGAGCAGACTATCCTATCAAGGTGTCTACGTAATTTACGTGTGCCATGATTGAGGGCTTAGACGGGCTTAGAGGACTGCGAAGGCTTCCGGCCTGCCTCCCTTAACATTCGAAAGCCTTTTTCTCGCGCAGCTGTAGCTTGTGTACGGCTTTGAGAAAGTATGGCTTCAAGTGTTTATTGTCTACGTGTGCGCGCTTGTTGCACACGGCGGTCGGCTTCTCCGGTAAGTGTTTGTCTTGCGGCATGTGATTCAAATTATGTGTCCTAGCTGCTTCGGATCCAGGCGTTTCCCTTTGGCACTGCCCGAATAAATACAACCCTAAACATCACACCCTTATCGAACCGAAAATGACCACAGAAAGCTCTCACGACCTAACTGTGACCCATTTACTACTTGGCGGGTCTTTTGACTTAGTAAGTCAAGTTCTGAGTACCCTAGTTGGGATTACCCGCAACTACAAGTTACAGCTGTTCAAGGTTCAGGGTTTAGGGGCAGATTCGGAGCTCTACTCGCAAGATCTAAACCCAAAAGCCTACAGCTCTACCAGGCCCCCTGGATGCCCAGAGCCCTTCTACTCCAACGAAACCCAAGCTTAAACTCAAGAAAGCCCTTATAGCCCCCCCCCCCCCGCCGCCCTTCCGCCCCTCCCCCCCAAAAAAACAAACACAACAACAAACAAAACAACACCCCATACACCCTATGAAGTGCTTTGTACGAACATGTACCTAAACCCTGAACCCTAAACCCCAAACCCCTGAACCCTAAACCCTAAACCTTCTGAAACCCTGCAGAAGCCGAGGTTTCCTCGTTTCAGAGGGCGCGGAGACCGGGCCTTCTTGGCCGCGCTATCGCTACCATGGCTGGGGCATCTCAGGCTGGGAACATGGGATAAGATAGTAAGGGTGTGGGGTCTATAGGGTTTGGGGTTCAAATTAGGGGTTGTGTTTGGAACCTAGGGAAGAACTGAAGGGGTTCAGGATTTAAGCATTTTTTCTGGGGGGTGGGGTTCCGTTCTTCTTCTGTCCATGTAAGAGCATGACCGTGAACGCCAAACCCTAAACCCTGTTGTAGCCTATGTTCTCAGTTCTGCTTTATGCACTCATCTTGCACCCTGGCAACTTTTCGAGCTTTACGTTCTCTGAAAGCCATCTACCGGGGGCCATAGCCTAATCGGCTGCCGCATCCAAGCAGTGCAACAACCTTACGCTGCAATCTCGGATCAGACAACTTCGGATATGTTATCCAAGGGTGGCAACGTCGCATGCACTGCGCTTCGGGAGCCCTTTCGGTCCGCTTTCGCGAACACCATATGCAGCGGTGTATCATGTATATTTCTCAAAGAAATCAGCATGCAAGCTTTCGAAGCGGCAAACTCTACACTTTGCACCTTTCGCTTCGCCGGACTCTGACCGACCTTGCCGCCTCTGTGTGAAGTTTTGCAGCACTGTACATTCGCAGGTAATACCTTGCACTACCATAGAACTTACAAGGGCTCTACAAAAAACAGGTTTTGGTAGGTTAAGGTTCATACCAAGTAGCTCTACACCCTGCCCTAAGATCCTGATACTATACAGTGCCTTAGTTGTCTGAATGGGGTTTTGGGCTCCTGTATCATGAAGTTATAATAAGGAATCCTCAGGAAGATTATTGGTACTTACTTGTTTGGGTTTAGCGTTTAAGGTTAAGGGTTTAGGGGTACTTACTTGTTTGGGCAATATTGATGTCCTGGGGCCCTCCCCCAAGTCATATTCGAATTGCTGCTGTGCGCTCAACACCTCAGTGGAGCTAGCGGCACCCACCTGGCGTCTTCCGCGTTATGCTTGTTGGACCAGGTTCCCCGGTAACCCCCCAAACCTCAGAAGTAGGGCAGCCCAAAATACAAACGACATCAGGGTACAGCTGGCGGACGTAGAGGATATCGCTGATCCTTGGGGTCGAGACGTACTGCCTGGCCTCTTGATAAGAACACTTTATCATGCTGAGATTTGCAGCAGCAAGCTGAGGAAGCTTGTACTTAGGGTTTGGGTGTAGGGTTCCTATGACGCTTTTGCCTGTCAATCAGCAATGTGCGCAGTCTCACACAACACACGGAATGCACAGCGACAGAAATTAGCATGGAGCTGAGTGTGCTCCCGCTCGTTGTGTCCTCAACAACATATACAGGCTGTGGCAGTCCCTTTGGGCTCGCCATTTCTATCGGGAAAATCTCAGTGGGCATCGTCGAACGGAAGGCTTTCAATTTAAGACCCCGTTGTGCATCACAAGTCTGCTTCAAACACTTGTGGCCAGGGCTCAGTTCCATCTTTACTCACGTGCACGGAGGCTGATCTTGCACCATCGTTGCAAACTGGTCAGGGGTCAGGATCTTGCGATGCTTGGTGCCGTTGGGGTAGTCTAGCTCCACATGAACAGATCCGACCGGGAGTGACCAGCCTTGACGATCAAGATTGGGTCTGTGAGCTACACCAAGGATCCGGGCAGGAAGGAAAGCACCGCATGTCTGGCTCCATATTGCCAGCTGAGTCACATCCGAGAATCCCTGTGGTGCCTCGTAGGCCAGCGACTTAGCGGACTTGGTGTCTTTGGGTATTGTGAGAGGCTGAGGCCATTCCGGACGTTGGTTGTATCCAAGGCATCCGTCCTGCCTGCGACCAAGGGCGTCTTGGAGGGAGTTTGCCTTAATCCATGGTTCGGAGATATCGTCAAGATGACGCTGCAACAAGCAGATTGTGGAGCCAGCCTCAACGGCCCGATTCTCCCAAACGAACTTGAATCTCCCATTCGCCCAAAATGCTACGGCCACGAACACCGTACTTGTAGCTGCTGTAGTAAACGTCTCGCAGTTTGCCCCAAGTGTCAAATCGGCCGGCTTGCGCTTTCCTTGGGTGGCCACCAAGGCGGCCTGCCCTCCCATGCCGATGGGGATATATCCTGCTGGGTACAATTCCAGCGACAGACAGGGTAGTAGTAACACTGGCCTAAGTAGTAGTAGTAGTAGTAGTAGTAGTAGTAGTAGTAGCAGTAGTAGTAGTAGTAGTAGTAGTAGTAGTTGTTGCGTGAGGGTTTGGTATATGACGTCTCTTCTGCTTCCTCGCTCAAGTCGTTGAGGTGTCTGTGCAGAGGGGGCGACACACACGTTGACTGACTGTAGGAATCAATGGCTGAACTATGTGTCCTAGTTCCTGACCTTCGAATCCTTTGGACTCTTGGCCCCTTGAGACACGATTGCCGGAGTACATAGTACGGTTATCGCATGGTAACCAAAGGTTGCCCATGTTTGAGAATCGAAGGTTGCCCAAACGTTTCATAGCTCAAATGTGCTAGGCTTCCAGGCCTCTTCGCACCCCCCCATGAGTGAAGCTTTGAGCTTTACTCAGCTATAGGAAGAGAGTCGCGGGACCCGAAAAGACAGAAATGACTCGACTGCAATTGGCACTGTTCTTGTGTGTGTATGACTGCCCAATTAAATGCTGCGTGAAACACAGCTACGTCTGTTTCTGTGAGAAATGAAAGGATGCATACATCGAAGAAAATATGCACGAAGTGTGGTGCATTCAGCCATGTCCAGCACGTGAAGCTGTAATCGATCTGTTCGGCAAAGCGCATGTAGAAGATCACTCATCCCAACGGTCATTGTTCCATTGATGGTAGTCTCGATAATATTGGGATCCTGATGATGAACCTTCTGACCATTGACCATACCCTCCTTGGCTGCGTTGCCTTCGATCACGTTGACGTTGTGGAGGAGGACCCTTGGGTTCCGGTGGATGCCGTGCTCGTGCTTTAGCTTTTGATCGGCGAGCTTCTGTGGTTTCCTCCGCTTCTTTGTTGCCCTCCAGGAAGGTAACCAGAGGTGAAGTTGTTTAAAGCATTGTTGTTCTTGGTCTCAGCGCCGTGCAGTCTGCCGGACGTAGGTTTGGTGGCGAATTTGGCCTGCATCTGAATGTCTAGATCCACCATCGCTGCCAGGAGTTGCTGCGTGCAGGTCCTTAGGCCCAGCATCATGCATATGCCGAATGGGTCAATGCAGAGTACATTCTGGTGCACATTCTGACGTTTTGGCTGCAGCAGCGAATACTGTCGGTATCCAGTGATTCTGCCCACGAGCTTCGACAACATTGCAAAACAACTGGAGTGCATCTGCGGTGCATCCTCGTTCTGATTCTCGCGCAGGTGATAAGCTGGATCAAAATGATGTCGCTTGCACCCAAGTTGAATGGCTCTTCGCATCAATTTGGAAATTAATTAACTGATGTGTTCTGAACTTGTTGAGCAGCTGAATGCCTTCTGGATCTTCCCCGTCTTCAGGACTTCTTGCATGTGTGAGAACTTATTCGTCCGTTACGTCTCGTGGAAGAACAGTGCTCCTATCAACCTCTGAAAGGACTGGTCCGCAATTACCGAGATTGTCAAACCTTTTGTGGTACCGGAACATGCCTCGCGTTGTCGACAGCGGGAGATCCAGCCACTTCACGTTCCCCTCCCAGTTCTTGTGCACGTAGTTGATGACGATACACGCCATGTAGCGGGCGAGCTCGTGCTTGGGGGCAACGACATAGGCAGACTCAATGTGAGCGTATATTGGTACTTGCAAGCCTGCTCTCACGGGAACCAAGTCTTGATCCAGATGAAAGTCGCCGTCATTGATAATAACGGGCTGCCGTGAGCTGACCTCTTCGAGTGGTTCCTCGTGGTCTTCCATCTCCGGCGCAGGTTCTGACATGACATCATCAGCTTCCATCTCTTCATCCGGTTCGGCGATAGTTTGTCGATCGTCCTCGTCGTTGTCGACGACTGGATTTGCATTGACCGCCGCTGCCCTTTCTTCGGCCGCTTGATTAATCTCATCGCGAGGTATCTCCAAAGGAGTCTCCTCTTGATGGTGTGCTCTTTGGAAGCTTCCGCGAGCACATCTGGATAAGCATGAAGGAACATTTTCACGGCACCAAGGACATATTCTGTAACGAAGTTCATGGTCACGGTTCGTCCTTGCCTGCTTGCTCGGCAAAGTATGCATAATGAGGAAATCCATGGCTTCTTTAAAGCATGCTTTTTTGTCTCCAGTTGATGTTAAGTTTTGCGACATATTCCTCCTTGGTAGCATCATGCGGTCCAGGTCAAGCGTTCGATAGGTCTTCATGTGTTCCGCGACGGGCGAAGTATGGCAATCCACGCAGACCTCATCCTCCAGCTCATAGTCCAAGATCTTTTCCACTTGTTCGAAATTTCTTCGATGATCTCCGTTTGATATACAAGGCCAAACGTCTTTCGCGAGCCGAAAAGGAATTGGTTTGCTGCAAATGATGATTCCGCTTTCTGTCACACGATGTCGATGAGCGGAACGTAGATGGTGACCAATGGTATATGTCGGTCCACGCTTGACCGACAGCGAGTCACTTGATTCCTTTCATCCCATTGTGGAAATACACCCCAGTGACTGTGCAAACGGGCGGAGGAGCTGTGGTTCCCAGCGAGATCCCTACCAGCCTTTATCCCCTCTTCCATGATTGATTTGAGATTGTAATACTCCGTAGAGTGATACGCACCCTTGATCCTGTTGACGCGCGTGTTGCTGGCCGACAAAGTGAACTTTGCACATGAGGGGTCAATCTCCATGATGGCTGTGTTCCTGTCCGATGAGTGCCCGCTCGTTGCTCTGATGGCCCACGGCCTTCCCCTTCCGTCACTCAGTTCCAACTCCTCATGAGTTAAACAGTGAGACACTAAGCGG